AGCCTGCGGCAGCGGGCAACGAAGCCCGCACCCCCAGGCATCTGACTCCTCGTGTCTTTCGCAACGCGGTTCCCCCGAGTCGTTGTGACATTGCGCTGGGGCCTGGCGAGGGCGCCTGGAGCACAAAAATTGGCAAACACTTTGCGTGGCCTTCATGGCCATCATCGTCATCATCGTCATCATCATCATCATCATCATCATCATCATCATCATCATCATCATCATCATCGTCCTCATCATCATCATCACCATCGTCATCATCACCATCATCATCATCACCACCATCATCATCATCGTCATCATCAGCAGCATCACCATAATCATCACCATCATCACAATATTCATCATCATCATCACCGACATCATCATCTCCGTGGTCATTCTCATCACTACCATCGCCAGCATCACCGCCGCCACCGTCAAATTCGTACGCATGGTCAGATCCGTTTCCATGCCCATCTTCGTCCTCATCTTTATCCCCATATTCCTTCTCATCTTTATCATCATCTCATCTTCATCCTCATCTTTATCCTTATCTTCCTGCTCATCGCTACCCTCATCTTCCAGCCCATCTTCATCTGCATCGCCATCTGCATCTCTCCCTCACACCCGTGTGTGACCCTGCTCCCTTCCGGCCGCGGCGGCCCTTGTGCCCGGCGGCGGCACCGCCGCTCGCGAGGCGGGCAGAGGGCTCGACTGCCCACCCCCGAAGCTACCCCCCTCGAGCCCCGGCCTTTTTTTTGTGAGCAATCATCCTGACCACAGTCGTCAGCATGAGCGTTCGCAGTCTTAGTCTTGAGTCGGGCCTGTCCCTCTACAGGGGGAATATTCATGTTGTATAAGCAATCATCATAACAACAGTCGTCAGCATGAGCGTTGGCAGTCTTAGCCTTGAGTCGGGCCTGTCCCTCTACAGGGGGAAAATTCAAAGATAGTCAAAAAACAGTATGGGGACTATTTTTGCTTTACCATTTTTTGCCATTTGGGAGCATTTTCGGTGTATTTGTTCGTCGAAAATCCCCCTGTAGGGGGACACGCCCGACTTAACCTTAGTATCATTTTCAATCTGTTGGCACCGAGAGGATTCCCAGGGCCTCGTCGTGCTCCCCGTGTGGCAGCAGCGGCCGCCGCGCGCCGCGCCGCCCCTCCAGAAGCGGAGCGAGTACGAGGGCGGCGACCGCCTCTTCGTGGAGCTGGAAGGCGCGGCCCGCCCCTGCGCGCGAGTCCGTCGGCGCCCGCCTCGGGCTGGAGCGAGGACAAGTCGCTCCAGAGCGCTCTTCGAGGAAGAGACCGCCCCTGGCACCGTCTCGTCGTGGAAGCATCACGACGCAGGGCTTTCGCTGGGCCCCCTGGCGGCGACCGCCTCCCCGCGGGGCCGGAAGGCGCGGCCCGCCCCCGCGCGCGAGTCCGTCGGGGCCTGCTTCGGGCAGGCCTGCTGAGATGGCCACTGGCGTGGCCACGGGGATCGAAGGTCCAGGCACTCGAGTTCCAAAGTTTTCGAGCGCTTTTGCAGGGCATTTCCTATGGGCTTCGAAAGTTTTCGAGGCCCGGGGCGGTTTCCACCAGCTGCTCCTGGTAGAGGGCGTCCCAGGGGTGCCACAATCGTCCCGAACGGCCGCCGGAGAGCCGAGCTATGACCCGAAAACCGCCGGAACCGATGACCGCGGGGTACGCTACGAGGATGTGGGGGTTAGTAGCGGATGCGAAGGTGGGTGATATCTTGCACAGCCTAGTTTATCAGTGGGCCACACGGGCCCTGAGTGGTTTAATTCGGAGGCTTACATGACGTCGCTAACTGGGCGGAGCCCAGTTGGCCCAGACCGTTGACCCCTCTGAACTATGTAGGCCTCGTGCAACCTACTCATAAGGTAGGTTAGGCCAGATAAAGCCCACCTGAGCATCCGCTTCGCTCCTAGCCCCCCTTCCCCGTAGCAACCCTGGCGGCCATGTCAGTTGGGACGAAGAGAAGTCGCTCCAGAGCGCTCTTCTAAGGAGAGAATCCCTGGCGTCCACACATGGTCAAAACAAAAACACGCTGCAGGCTTCGTGCAAATTCTTGATAGTCGGGGACCCTCGCCTGGCCCCGGGACCTCAAGCAAGCACTGGGCTGCTTGTAACGTAGTCGCCGGATGGTGGCACCCCACGTGGGCGCAAACAAATTTCCCATAGGGGGGGATGGGGAGAGGAGGAGGAGGAGGAGGAGGAGGAGGAGGAGGAGGAGGAGGAGGGGGAGGAGGAAGAGGAGGAGAGGACGAGGACGAGGACGAGGAGGATGAGGGCGAGGAGGACGAGGAGGACGACGGTCAGATGCGGAGGGCATGCCCTGCACTCAGGGCGCCGCGCTTGGCCGCAGAGTATAATCGCAGGGGTGCCTCGAGGCTTCGCCCCGTGGCCGCCCCGTGGCCGCCGCTCGCAGTGTCGATGGCTGGGACCGCCGAGGCGGGGCCCCGTGGCCGCCCACGTGGCCGCTCGCGGTCGCCGCTCGCGGTCGCGGGCTCGGCGTCGAGTGGCGTCGCGTGGCCGCTCGTGGTCGCCGCTCGTGGCCGCTCGTGGTCGCCGCTCCTCGTCGTCGTTCTGCGCGGGTGCGTCGGGGGAGCTCTCGCCCCGCAGCGGCTCGGGGGGGGGGGGGGGGGTCGCTGGGTCTGCCCGTGGCTCGCCCCGCCGCTGCTCGTCGCTGCTCTGGGTTCCCGCCCGTCGCTGCGCATGGCCCTTTGGGGTTGAGGATGTCGCAGCGTTGCCGCTCATAGTCGCCGCCCGTCGCCTCGCATCGTCGCTCTGGCTTTTCCGAGGCTGGTTCCGGTCTTTCAGTCCTCTGCGCTTCCTGACCAGCTCGTCTTGCAAGGGGCCAGCACGAGTGCCCGGAGGCTGGGCGCTAGCCATTCCGGATCCAGAGCGAGTGGCCCGTGGTCCGTGGTCTCCCCTTCGTGGGTGGCCTCCCCATCCGGCCTCCCTGTGTGGTCCCCCACGGGTTCTCCCGCACGGTCCCCACATCATCGTCACGCATGGCCTCTCGTGTGTGTCCCCATGGTGCTCTCCCGCGCGGTCCCGCGCCCGCTCTCCCGTGTGGCTTCTTTCCCCCTCCTGCTCTCCCAGGTGCTCGCCGCCCTCCCGCCCGACGGTCCCCCGTGTGCTCTGCCGTGTGGTGCCCCGTCTGGTCTGCCGCGCGGTCTCCCGCGCGGGCGCCCTTCGTGCTCTCCCGCCCGGTCTCCCCCCGCAGGTTCTCTCCGACACTTTGTCTCCCGTGTGGTGTTCCTCCGTGGGGTACTCCAGACTTCGTAATAAAAGGGAGGGGGTCTGGACCCTCCAAGACAAGCCATTTCAGACCCCCCCCGTGGGAGAACCCTCCAAAACATCGTCCCCAGACCCCCCCAGGCCCTCCGAGATAGCCTGGAAGAGACCCCCCCCGAAATGAGACCCCCCTCCCTTTTGTTACGAAATCTGGAGTATGCATTGCGCGGTCCCCCACGTGTCCTCCCGCACGTTCTGCCGCGGGGTCTGCCGCCGCGTCCACCGTGTGGCCTCCCGCATGGTCTCCGGCGCACGGCCTCCCGTGCCGTCTCCCGTCTGATCTGCAGCATGGCTCTCCGCACGGCTGTCCACATGGCCTCGCGCATGGCTTCCCGCTTGGTCTCCCGCACGGCCTCTCATACTCTCGTACTCGCTACAGCGTTGTGCGCAGTACTCTTCGCTTCGTGCAGGACGCTTCGCTCCGTGCGCTCTCGTTTGTAGTCTCAAGCGTTGTCCGTGGTCTTCTGCCGCCAGGGGTGGATTCACGTCGGCCTCTCGGTTGCATCCTTGGGAGAGTCCGCGGCCTCTCGGAGACGCCCTCGGGCCGTGCTGGAGCCCCTTGGAGGGATGCGCGAGGCCATGCGTATTCTTCTTGGGGGCTAGATTGTGCCACATTCGAGGCCACCAACATGGTCCGCAATTCCGGGCCGATTTCGGTGGGTGCTGGGTTCCCGGGCTCCCAGGTTCCCGGTCGATCTCCTCAGCGAAAACCATCCATTGATTGGGGTTGTTCTCAGGTGTAATTCTTCTTCTTTGGGGGCATATTGTGCCACATTCGAGGCCACTTTGGACCAGCTGGAGCCATCTAGGAGCCGTCTTGAGCCAAATCGTACTTTCTGGCACCTCGCGCCCACCCCCTTTGAGACCCACGGGAGGGGGCGTCCACTAATATAACGGAGCCCCCCCCCCCCAACCTCCCCTCGACCACAACACCAGCCTGTCAGGCCCCGTCTTTTCTTCGGCAAGACATCGCAAGGCGAGGCGGTGCCCAAGATAGCCATCACAATGGCCTGCAATGGTCCCAAGTTGTCCAAGATGTCCTCCACTAGCCCTCCAAGAGGCCTCCAGACAGCCACAAAACGGCCCGATGTGGCCACAGAGTCTCCACAATATGGTTTCGAAAGGCAAACGAGGTTCAAAACCCGAAACTCTTTTCAATGTGGATCGCCGTATCGTTTTCCGACTTCCGATATCGCCTTGGTAACGGTTGCCCCCCCCCCATTTTATAATAAGAGTCAAGACAGGTTTCGAATTAGTAACATGGGCTCCAGGATCGCCCTAGATTGGGCCCAGAAGGACAATGTTTCAACGATGTTGGCCTTCTGGGTCGGTCACCAACACTTCCAAGACGACCCAAGAGGTTCCCAAGAGGGCTCCAGAACGGACCTTAGGCCTAACTATCTTGGAGCACGTTGGAATGTAGATTCCGAATCACATCCGAAACCACGGTCAAGTCGCGGCCCAAACCCACGACGCACCCAGAAAGTCCTGGAGCATGGGGCCAGGGGGCGTTCCAAGAGTAGGTGTAACATGGTATACGTTCTATATGAATGATTTTAAGACGCTCCACTTCGTGCTTGCCTTCCACTTCGTGCTTGCCTCACGATTGCGGATCGTCGTCGCTCTATGCCGTGCAGTAGCCATGTAAGTTCAAGGCTGAACGATATGTGTTTTTTTTGAGTTTATGCACTTACCGACGTATCTTGTTCATCATGCTGCAGATGTCGGAGTGCTTCCTCGCTGTGCCAACAGCGGAAGTGGAAAATATACTTGTGTGCGGTTACCGTCCGATCCGGAGACGAGGCGTGCGCGTTTCATTATCTGCAGCTGAGGCGATCCTGGCTTTCCGGCGCAGACACAGCAGTTCCGCAGCATGCTTGAGGTTCGTTCCAGCTCCAAGAGCACGCTGGACCGTTTCACGTGGAGGCCACGTGCTTGATTGTGACCATATTCCGGCACAACAGCTCACACGGGTGGAAGCCAGCGCAATCGAATATCAGACGAATTGTTTGCACACATCGTTGTACCTAGCTGTTTGCGCAAGTGACCTCCAGTCGATTCTACGCAATGGCTACTTACCTAGGCATCGAACGAGCGTTCCAGTCTCTGTCTCTGCAGAGCGAGCCAGAGAAGCATATGCACGAAAGCATCGCGGGCGCCTGGAGGCTGTCGTTGTGGTGAATGTTGAGGCTGCCAGTGCCGCGGGCTGCAGAGTCGTCTCTCACGACAACGGCATTGACATTCTTCTTCCGACGCCACGGTGGTCACCACGGCAGACCCTCCCGGCGGGCTGCTTGTCAAGAACAGTCGTTGACGCAGCAGGCGCGTTTGATGCACCACCAGTCGCCCAAACCTTAGCAGGTCTTGGAGTTCAAGGTGCTGGCACATCCAGGACAGGTTCGGGTCCAGATGCAGGGGCTGGTCTTGGCGTTGTTGCGTCGACGCAAGCGGCGCCAGCCAGACCCACTGGCGCACCTGCTGAGGCTATCTCGATCAGGAGTGGCAGTCGGCAGTTGGCTACGAGCGCCTTTGCACCAACTGAGACCACCAGCAGCCAACGTTGTCCACAACCACCCGATGCTGGCATCCATAACCCTGCTCGTTCGTCTCTGGGGATTGGTGGGACAGCTGCCGTTACTGAAACGACGGATGTCAGCGCAGTCTACGCTGCACCTCCAGCACCCAACGTAACTACACACTCTGCTGCAGCACATCCATCTGGAGTTGTTGTGCGCCGTCCAGCAAGCGGCCAGACTCCGGCAGGCGTCAGTGCTAGTGATCCTTGGGCCGCGGCGGGTTCAGATCCGTGGGCTGTTGCAGCGGCTGTTCAACCACCTTTGGCGGGCGTCGCTTCTGAGCCAGTGAGTGCATGGGTGGGCTATTCAAAGGCGTCCAGAGTGAACAACACAGGCTCCAGTGCACGACTTGTGGAAACATCAGCCAGTGCGAAAGAACGAAATCTCACGAGTTGCCAGCCTCAGACATCCACTACTGCTACGGATCCTTGGGCCGCACCAGCGTCAGACACATGGACTGTTGCGACGGCTGCTCCAGCTCCTTCGACTGGCCTTGATCCTTGGCCAAGGGATACCACTTCGGTTGGTAACTCGAAGGGCCTTGCATCTGCAGCAGCCAGCCAATGCAAAGATGCGCAAGTTGTGGAAAGCCCCCCTAGCCTTCCAGAACCTATTCTCGCGGACTGCGCCAGTTCAGCTCGCAATGTTAGCGATCCTTGGGCTTCGGCGGGTTCAGATCCGTGGGCTGCTGCAGCTGCTGATCAACCAAGTTCATCGAGCATCGCTCCAAAGCCAGCGAACGTCTGGGCTCGCGACCCCGTGGACAAAGCAAACGGTGGCAGCGACTCACTGCTTGCTGCGGGAACTTCGACCAGCGATGTGGAGCCATCACCTGGGAGCTGTCCAGCGCAGGCAAGCTCTGGTGGCAGTGATCCTTTGGCCGTGGCAGCTTCAGAACCGCGGGTCAGAGTGGATTCAACTCCTTTGACGGGCGCTGCTGTTGAGCCAGTTGCCGCTTGGGCTGCCTATGCAGACCCATGGAAGAGGTACGCCCCACGTCCAGATCAGACTTTCACTTCAGGCCGCCAGAACAAAGTCGTACGATGTTTCGCCGCTTTTGCGTGTCGAGATTGCCCGGGCGCCACAGGCCACCACTTCGAGGTATTGCCGCACGTCGAAAGGAATTGTAGAGGTGATCCAAGGATTGGGACATACCATTTTGTTGACGAGATGCATGGCAAGCCAGTCTACAAGCGCTACGGAAGTAGGATGTATGTATACCTGGTCTCAGGGTCCGACCTGACTATCGGCGGTAGGATGTACGACAAGCAGGATTACACGCATGCAGGCTCGCCTGTGTTCAAGGCGCGCGGCGAGGATCTGTATTTGTTTTACGAATGCTATGATTGGGATGCTGCGGAGCGTCTCTCACGTAGAGGCCGGTGGCTCCTGACAAGGCATATTGCGACTGTTCCAGACGATATTCCGTTAGCAAACACGCCGTTCCTTGCATATGCCGACTCGCAATCTTGGGCTTGGCCATCCGAAGGCATGATGTTGCATGGCATCCGCGCTGCGGATTGGAGCAGCGGAATCAGTTTCTCAAAATTCCATTGGGCCTTCGGAGGTGATCCAGCCGGCGATCAGCACCTGGAGCAAGTGCAGGGTCCGGAAACAGGTGATGTACCAGTTGACGGATGGGATGATGTATGGATTCGCTTCCTCCCACGGCAGCGTTATTTCGAGTCTTCCATCGTCATGGCAAGGAGAGTAGATGGACAATTCTAGACGCTTCGCGTATCCCCACCAGCCCGTCCAGAAACGACGCCCAGGCGAGTAGAGGGTCGTCCTGAGGGGCTTTTCGGCGTCTTGGGTGCCTCGGGGGGGCCTCTGTGGGCCGTTCGGGATCCTCTTTGGGGCCTCCTGGGGGCCTCTTGGGGCCTCTTGGGGCCATCTTGGGGCCTTTGGGGGCCTCCTGGGCGCTTCTTGGGGCCTCCTGGGCGCTTCTTGGGTGCCTCTGGGGGGTCTCTTGGGGCCTCTTGGGGGTCTCTTGGGGGCCTCCTGGGGGCCTCTTGGGGGGCCTCGGAGCCATCTTGGAGGAGATCGATCAACGAAGGGGGGTTCCCTAATTACAGCCCCCCCCTCAGGAGCCACGATCCTCGTGAGGGGTGTCGAATTTTAGCCCTCCCAGGGGTCGATATTGGGCGCTCCAACGCGCCGCGGAACCCCCTGTCCAGGTCAGTGGGGAGGGGGTAGGGGGAGGGGTAAACCCCTCCCCGAAGGGGAAGAGGGAGGGGTGGAAGAGGAAACTCGTTAAACCACCGACGCCCAGAGGGCTGGTGGGATTCCTTTCCGTAGTCAAACAGGACCGGAAGCCCACAAAGGGTTGTCGCAAGTGCTCTCATCAGTGCATGCCTGTCTTCGTCGAGCCGTACGATCCGATGAACCCAGATCATCAGTTGGATGGCCCACACGACTATCGGCAGTGTCCCGAATGTTTTTATCCAGTGGCCTGCGGCGAAACCCACCACCGTGCCACGCCAAGGTGCTATAGCGTCTCGCGGCTGCAACTTTGAATGGTTTTAACATTGCCTTTTGGTGGCCCAATGATGGTTTCCTAGAGGCGTCTTGGGGACTTCGCGGGTACGTACCTGGGGGCGCCTTGGGGCCGTCTCGGGTGTTTCTGAGGGGCCCCCGGAAGGGCCTCCTAGGTCCTAGGAGCCTGGGGGGGTTCTCGAGGCTGTCTTGGGCGCGCTGGTTCCGCCGAGCTCCCCCGAACCAACTCAGTTGAACCATCAGGGGGCCGCCTGGGCGGGTCTTGGGACCATCTTGGAGCCATCTTGAGGAGGTCTTGGGCCGTCTTGGGCGGTCATCGGCCCGTCTGAAGGCCGCATTGGGATTGTCTCGGGCCGTCTTGGGGGCCTCTCGGGGCCTCTGGAGCCTTCCCGAGGCGATCTGGTGCCTGAAAGCCTTGGAAGTAACCGCGCGCGAAATTTCTCACAGGGCCCATCTAAAAGTCTCCTTGGGCGCCTTCGGGGGGAATCGTAGCGTGTATCGTCGCAGGCCTTGAGGTTACCACCAACACCAAGATCGGCGGTGTGCCTCCACCGAAGAACGACGATCCCGATCTCGGTGATGGTGGTAATATTCAGGCTTCCAAGGCGACCGAAATATTACCACCAACGCCGAAATCTAGGATCATCTTCCCCATGTGGAGGCAACCCCCCTGTGCTGGTGTTGGTGCCCACTTCCAGGCCTCCAGTCTCTGGGCGTCTTGGGACATGTCGGGTCTTCTGCTTGGCTGTCTTGAGGCTGGCGCGGTCGAGTCCTGCAGCCGTCTGGGCGCCGTGCTGGCCCGTCGAGGGGCCGAAGAGAACGGCGGGCGGTCGAATCCGGGAGGCGGTTCTGCACTGAAGTTGTGGCGAAGCGTCCTGGCGCGCCTATGGGCCAACCAAACCATGTCCTAAGAACCTCTTTGTGGTCTCCACGACATGTCCTTAGAGCAGTTCTGGTTGGGGCTGTCTTGTTTTAGTACATCGGGTTTATGCTCTAAGAATGTTGTTTTTGTTCTCAGGACACTTCTGGGTTCTAAGAACATGTCGTGGTAGGCCTGTGAAAGTGCCGGGACGGTCGGTCCCTGCTCAATACACGTTACTCGCCGCCAGGGGGGCGGTCGCCCTAGGAAGCTCCTTACCTATCACGCCCCAACGTGCCGAGGACATGGTTCGCAGAGGGCCGGACGGCAAAATCCGGGAGGCGGTTCTACGCGTTCCTCGCCGCCAGGGGGCGGGTCGCCCTAGGGAACCCTACTCGAGCACTTTCTTTGGGTGGAGGGCAAGGGGCGAAATCTGAAATGCCGTTTCGATGGATTTCCGAGGTGCGGATCAGCAGAGGGTGAATCACAAGACGGATTGGTTTTGAGGTGCGGAAGCCCATGTGGATTTCACCCTGAGCCCTCTGCCCTAAGAAAATGTTCCGTCTACATATCCCGCTCCAGCGTGCCGAGGACATGGTTCGCGGATTACGGTTCTTGGTGCCTCCACTCTGCTCGCCGAGGCGACAGTGCAGCACCAGATGCGCCTGCTCCCTCCCCAAAAGCGGACCCCGCTGCAGATAGAGCTGCAACAAATGGGCCAGATGCAACATTTGCTTCGGCCGCAGCTCCCGAGCCACACCTGGATGGGCCCCCAGACTCAGACACAGGCACAGGTCCAGGAATGGGACAAGCACCGCCGGAACAGGAACCCAGGAATGGGGAGGCAGAGGCGCCGATCGGAGCCGAAGGATCGGTTGAGCACGAGACGCCTGATGTTTCACCAGTCCAGTTCGATTTCATGAGGGAGGGGAGCCACATGTATATAAAGTTGCGTGCCGCTGTTGGTGCCGATCAGTGCTCTTGGACTCGCGCAGTCGTGATAACTGGTGGCCGTTCTGCAAGAACGGTGCGAGTTCAAGTAAAGAAGTCTCGCTTCTCTGCTGTGTACGAGGATTTGATGCTGGACTCACCTCGCGTTGAAGGGTTCAAGCACCCAGACGAGTGCACGACTTCGCACATGAGGGAGCTGCAGCAACAGGAGGTGTTACGCTTGCACTCGTGCTTGGCCGCTGATGGGCGCCTGCTTCTGCTGCCTTCAGGGCTGCCTCCTAAGAGGGCTGGGTTGCACCTGGGGGAGACAAAGTATGTTCGGCGGGACTTTGTGCTCCGTGGCCAGGTGCCGATGAACCAACCAGCAAACTTTTGGAGAGAATTTCGAGACCATCTAAATCAAGACGCGGTGCCCACCCAGACAAACCCTCCGCCATGGACTACCAGATGCAAATTCGAAGCGGTAAATTCAGGACTAGAGACGACTTTTACATTCAGAGGGGTTGAGATTGGCGTGCGGTTAGAACCACATCCGTTTGCTCTGGAAGAGCCGGTGTTCCAGCTCGGCCAGAGGGCGCGAAACACCCGAGGATCTAAGCATAGCATGTTCGATGCGGCCTTTAAGTTGTTGAACGATCGCCGCATGCACGATGAATCACCGCAGAATTTGGCAGAAGCGCTTTTGCTTTTCAACAGTGCCAACGAGTGCGGAAATGACGGAGATCCCACCGCAGAGTTGGCGGCAAGCGCAGCAGCAAGCGCCTCACTTCTGGATTCAATGCAAGACCGCTTGTCGTCAGTGAATCGAAGGGCCGAGCAAAGAAACGGGATTGCAAACTTGCTCATGGATCAGTACGGAGTGCACAGCGAGCCCATAGTGCGCGACCCGATGGGATGGGTTCGATTCCCGATAGAAAGGCAGGATGACTGGCCAGGAGATCGTTGTTACCATGGAACCTCTGCGCACAACATGGTACCAGTTCTTCTTGCAGGTCTGAGACTACCCAGAGGTCGCGATGATATAGCTCATGGCGCTAGTGGATCGAGCGGCGTTCCCACAATATATTGCAGCCCCTCGTGGCATTACGCCGCACACCCAGTGTATTCTCCACTGCACCGGGGGCCGAAGTGGCCTCATGTCCCCGAGGCTTTTCAGATGGTCTTTGAATGCGCTGTGCAGCCTGGTACATACAAGAAACAGGCTGGCACACTGGGAAACAAACACTGGGACCGCGATATCAGGATTGACCCTGACCGCCCTACGCTTCGGGACTTGGAGTATTTGGTAACCGATCCAGTTAATATTCGGTTGACGGGTGTCCTGTTCCGGATGTTTGGTCGTGATATTGACGAGGATTTGTATGACAGTCTTCCTAAGTCGTTGAATGTACCGTTGACAGATTCCGCATGGAGAGGTGACGGACCCAGGGACGGTGTAGAGTACAAGTGGACAGGGCTACTTCAGAAGGATTACAAGGCAAGAGGACTTTTCCTTTCTTAGCGTCGAGTGTGGCAAAAACGTAACAATCTTGGCGTTTCGCGTAATTATCCCAATCAGCCCATGCAAAAACAATCACCAGGCGAGCAGTCTTGATCAGGGATATGTGGCAGCATGCGCTCACGCTCTGGGAGCCTCTTAGAAGCATCTTGGGACCTTGTCGGAGCCATCTTGGGACTGTTTGAAAGGCCTCTGGGGCTCTCTTGGCCTCTTGGGTCCGTCTTGGGGCCTTGGGGGCGCGCGTGGGGCCATCCTTGACGCCGCTACTACTGCATAGTAGGAGTCAGAAGTAGAGGGCAAGAGGTAGAAGATTGAGCAGGAGCATGCGCAGGAACCCAGGTGGACCCTGCCCACCCGCCGACAGCCATCCCCCCCCCGCTGCATCGGGACCAATGTTGGCACGGAATTGGCGGCATCGGCGCTTGAGTCCCCACGCGGCGCGAGCTTGACGTGCGTGTCGCGTTTGGTGCTTCCCCCGGGGCTGGCAGGCAGGGCGCCCGCCGCCCCCACCCCGAACCACAAAGACCAGCGTCTGGTTTGTTCGCGTCACAGGGGTTGTGCATTGCAGCGGCGGTCATGGCCAACACGGGGTCGCACATCGAAGAATAACAAAAACACTTAAACGTAAATGTGTGGCGCTCCGCGCGGCGCTTTCGGCGCCTTCCCCTGGCGCGCTGCGCGCGCCAGGGAGGGGGGCCCAGCGCGGATCCAAGAAATCCGCGCGGAGCGCCACAAGTTTATGTTTATGTGTTTCTGTCCCTCCTCCAACACAGCCCCTGCATTTCACGGGGCCACCACGGGGTCACATCACACCAGCCCCGCTGGGCTCCCGAGGGCTCCCGAGAGGGGTCACACAACATGCCCGCCAACACGGGGATGCGATTGCCGCAAGTTGGCAACGCTACCAAATGGACGCGGCCAAGTCCATGCTGGCGCTTGAAGTCCAGCGCGCGGTCGCCGCAGTGTTCGCCACGTAAGCGAAGGTCGGCTAACGGCGGGATGCCAGCAAGCCACGGCCTCTTTGAGCAGTGGCTTCGCATGCAAAGCCAACGAACAGGCCAAGGAAGATCCCAAGGCGAGCCTGGATGCTTCCGCGAGGACCCCCCCGAATCGCTCAAGGGGGGGGGCCCAAGGGGCTCCAGCAGAGTTCTAAACTGGGAAGAGGCTGCATAACATGAGTCTTTGCCCCATCAGGGCCCCAAGCGGGTCAAATGTGGCCACAATAGGGGCCCGATGAAATTCCAACAGATTTCCAGAACAGTCCAAGAGGCCCCCTCCACGCACTCAAATCCGAGGATCCGCCCGACAAGAAATTTCGTACGTGTCTCATCCTTCTCTCCGCGGCTGCCCAGGGGTGGCCACCGCGCCAGGTTGCCAGCCACATCCAGTCCACGGGCATGGGGGCAAGGCAAGACGCGCTAAACCACCTAAGCCCCAAGGGCTGGTGTCGTTTCCCAGGTTTTCCAGCTCCTTTGTTGTTGGGACGGCGGTAAACCATGGGCGCTTCACTTATTGAGACTGATACAATACCGCGGACTTCATGGGGAAGGACAAGAAGGAAGAGGCGGAGGAGGATGAGGAGAAGAAAGAGGAAGGGAGCCGCTGCGCGGTGCCCTCGTGAGTGCCCTTTGGCGCCTTTGCACACAGTTCTTCGGAACGAGCACTGCTTGCGAACGGTTGCGTAAACAGACGTGTCGTGGTGGAGCTCAGAGGAAACATTCGCGCGGGTGCGTTGTGTAAAGTAGGAGGCCTCCAAGGCGGCCCTGAGAGGGCCCCGCACTAATTAGCCCCAGAGACCCTCCACCACTGGGTCCCTCGCGCGCCCCCGCCCACCTCGTCCGTCTGGGGTCGACGGAGCTGGCCGCAAGGCTTTCGCAATCATCTTTCGCAAGCATGTCTTTCAGGGGAAGGTAGAAGCGACACCATCACCACCAAGGGGGGCACCTCCAGCGAGGAGGTCCACGGTGCCTCCCCGGGCTGGGGATACGGGGGTGTCGCGAGCGAGAGGGGGGGGGGGGCCGTACCACAACGGGGACCCCCCTTGGCTCCTCCCAGTGGTGGTTCCTGGTGGTGGTGGTGTCGCTTTTCCTTGTTCTTGCTTCTCCCCTCTCTCCCCCCTTTTCATTCTGCTCATCTTCCTGCTCATCCGCCACCTCCTCATCATAATCCTCCGTCGCCCATGCACGCTGCTCCCATTTTCCGGTTGCGCATATCACAATTGGGTCTTGTTTTGAGTCCCAGGTCCGCTATGACACGCGCCCGTGGACTGAGAAACAATCAGCGCAATGGTAAGAAATGGGACGGAGCGGTCAGACGTCAAATATGACGCGAGCGCACCTAGTTAGCTTTACCCTCCCCCCGGCGGCGCGCCTGGGAGGGAAGTGCGAGGGAGAGGATCTTTTTAGACGGCGGCGGGGCTCCTCAGAATCAGGTGGTCGCAGAAATGGATTAAGGCGGCGTGGATTAGCGACGGGTCCCGTTTCCATGGGAAATCGCAGATTCCCGCCGTCGAACGGGGCGGCACTGGCGGCACTTTGGGGAGGGCACCTCCCCCGATCCATGGATTTGGCGACCGCGCGCCAAATCCAGGGATCGCTAATCCATGTTTGCGCGCCCCCGACAGAAGCCCGCTGGCCCTCTGAGAAGTCCTCCGCGTCTCCGAGGGAGGCTCAGGAAGCTCCTCGGAGAGCCCGAGGCCCTCCGAGCCCTCGGAGCAGACCCGTCGCCTCTCACCTTTTGTTTCTCTCTCCTCGTCCTCCTCCTCCTCCTCCTCCTCCTCCTCCTCCTGCTCCTCCTCCTCCTCCTCCTCCTCCTCCTCCTCCCCCTCCTCCTCCTCCCCCCCTGGGCCCCGCCGCCGAGCCCTCTTGCGGGCAGCGCGCCCCCGCCCCCGCCCCGAGGGGACCACGTCGCGGAGGGCGCGAGCAACGGCCGGTGCGCGGCGGCGCTCCCAGCCGTTTGCGGGGGGGGGCCCTCGCCTCGCTCGTCGTCGGGCCCGCGTTGCGGAGGCGCTCGGCGCGGGGAGCCGGCTGGGCGTCCGAGGTGGCCCAGCGCTGCTTCCACAGCCGCTGGCCTCCCCGTGCCCTCGGGGGGGGGGCGGCCCTCGCCTCGCTCGTCGTCGGGCCCTCGTTGCGGAGGCGCTCGACGCGTGGAGTCGGCTGGGGGTCCCAGGTGGCCCAGCGCTGCCTCCACGAGCAGGTTGTTCCGGGTGCGAGCCGGTTCTCTGCCGCTCGCTCGCGGCCCCTGGGGGCCTTTTTCCGGGCCCCGGGAGCGGCAAGAGCCAGTCCGGGTGGTGAGAAGCTGTGCCGGATGAACCCTGGGAGAGGTCCGGAGACCGATTTTGAGCGGAGTTGGTTTCGCTTCGCCCCCCCTGTCTTGGCAAATTTTCTGGAGGACCATCCAGTTTAGATCCCCCCGCCGCCTCCAACTGGATGTATACACCACGTCGTTTGGTCGCCCAAGGCAATGGTTTCGGCGAAGGAATTCTGTGTGTAGTTGTTCCAGCGTCCCACAGATTGGGCTGCTGGTGCGTCTAGACACCGAGCTCCTTGGCCGACAAAGCGGCGTGGTGTATACATCGAGCCTATCCAATCGCTCGGTCCCCCTCGTCGCTCTATGCTTTGCTGCTGTTTTCAGGAGCTTAGGGCTTGACGCTAGCCAGCGTTCAAATGAAAAGGCCTCGGGGGATGGAGGGAGAGGAGGGTGAGTGGGGGGGGGGAGGAGGGGGGGGAAGTGGAGCAAGGGGGAGGGGAGGAGTGAGGAGGCGTTGCTCGGAAGAGCAGCTACTTCGATGCCGCTCTCCTTCCTGTTCGCCTTCTTGCGGCCTCCCGACGGGGAAGTTGACCGCGGTGAAAAGCCAGTTGAGTTGCCCTCTCGCCCCTAAGACAAAGCTATGTGTATGCATATATATACACACATAAACACATGCACATACACGCATACACTCAACATCAAGCCATACAAGCACCTAAACTTAGACCTCGCATCAACGCCTTCAACACACACACACACATGTTCTACATCATGCACGTATTCCGATCCAGAGGCCGAGGCCGATGAACATCTCTGTCGCACATCGCTTCTGGCGTTTGGTCTGGCTCCGACGGTGGAACTGCATCGGAGTGTCAGAACCTCGGACAATGGCTCGATGAACAGTGATAATGCCTTTGGGATTATTCTTCGGGCTGCTTCCACGGCCCACTGTACCCATGCTTTTATAATGTCTCTCGTCGGTCTAGAATGTTTCTTTCATGGAGGGTCAGAGGATCAGTGGGAATTCAGAACGAGCAGTTCCGCCATGATTGATCTCGATGCGCGTGGGCCCGAGCCATTGCTCCACAAGGCAGATCCCCGGGCAGACCAGATCGCCTGGTGATAAGGCGCGGCGGCGCCGCTTTCCGCGCTGCGCAGGGGCAAGGTGTGCCACAGGTCTTGCGCTCGTGCCGCGTGCAGAGCCAGCCTCGCTTCGGCGACGTCAACTGCCCAGATCTCCGACGAGATGATTATTTGTTCAATCCTTGCCCTCTTACTCGATTTCGGCACCTGGGGACCGTTGTCGGGCTGGCGGGACTATCATAATGTTTCCCGATCTGGGAAAGTGCTCCCAGGGACGCGGTCGGTACCTCGGGGGCCGCGCGTTGAAAAGCATCACATCGTCGGATGTCTGTGTGACCATATTTCCGATCCTGACCAGGCCCATCCCAGGCCCAGGATCGGCGCCGGGTCCCCACAGGCTCAGGATTGGCCTGGCCAGGACCTCATGAGGTCAGGATGTCAGCTGGCGATGCCCGATCGTGTTTTGCTCCCTGGCTTCGCCTCGGTGTAGGCGAGCGTCGATACTGTGTTGGGACGTTCTCGTATCAGCGCGTCGTCTGGCTACTTCCGTTCGAGAGGCAGACGCGCGGCATGTCATGTCGTAGGCAATTTCTTGCCCCCAATCCCGTAGCTCCCTCAAAACAGCTTCCGCTCAGAAGCGGAGGAAACTCGTGGATAATTGCACCCCCGAG